ATGTGGGTGACTGTGTGTGTGTGTGTGTGAGACTGTATGTATGTGTGACTGTGTGTGTGTGTGTGTGTGTGTGTGTGTTTGTGTGTGAGTGACTCTGCGTATGTGGGTGACTGTCTCTGTGTGTGTGTGAGATGTAGTGTAGTACAGGGAGGGAGATTGTTCTTCAGTGCTATCTGTAGCACCACCTTCTCCAGCGGAGGGCAGCACAGCCTCACTGAATCCATGGCCATTACCCAGTCTGGGGAAAGGTACCTCCCAGGATGGTCTTCACCGGCTGGTGTAGTGGGCACATTCAGGATACTTTCCCAGAGCCTTCAACAACTCTTTCTTTGCTGAATAACTTTGTATTTGTTCAAAGTGCTGATGATACTGGGAAGTACAGGCTCCTAAAGAGAGAGCCGCTTTCCTGCTCCTTTGATGCTGCTTGGCCTGCTGTGTTCATCCAGCTCTACACCTTGTTATCTCCTAAAGAGAGAAATTGCTGGAGAAACTCAGCAGATTTGGCAGCATCTGTGGGAAGAGAAACAGTTAACGTTTTTTATCCTGAGAAAGGGTCATACGGGACTCGAAACGTTATCTCTGTGTTTCTCTCACTACAGGTGCTGCCAGACATGATGAGTTTCTCCAACATTCTCCGTGTTTGCTTCAGATTTCTATCATCTGCAGCGTTTTGCCCTTAGTCAAGTACAGAGGTACAGTTTGTTTAGACAGAAATGTGAGTCACAGACAGTGGTTAAGAATTGGAAAACAATATTTGGAATTGCTGCATTTGTTGAGCCAGATGATGAACAGGGCTCGCACCTCATTCACAACAATCCCAAAGCAGGCCACCCGAGAATGACACAGGGAGCCTACAATTCCTGAGCTACTTTCAGTACAGGGTAATGTGTAATCAGAAAAATAAAGGATCTGTGTTTATGTAATGTCTTTCATGGAGTCTCCAATCACTTTACAGCCAATGTATACATTTCCAAGTGTCGTCACTGTTGCAAAACAGGAGCTAATTTGTACACAGCAAGATCCCACCGACAACAACTCGAAGAATGAGCAGTCCATCTACTTTGGAGAATGATTGAAGGATAAATGTTGGTCAGGACTCAAAAAGAGACTTCCCTTGTCCTTCCTAAGCCATTCTGCAAGAGTGCAGAGAGACAGAGCAGCAGTCTAATCACAAGGCACAGGAACTAAAGTAGACCATTCAGCCCATTGAGCATACTCTGCCATTCAATAAGATCATAGAAGGTCTGTTCACCCTCAACTGCACTTTCCTGATTTTTCTCTATGTCCCTTGATTCCTAGGAGGATCAGGAGCACGAGGTCCAGGAAGCAAGCAGCCATTCCAGAAGGAAGTAACCCGAGCAGCAAGTTACATTTTTCAGGAAAGCATTGTTCGAAGAAGGAGCAACAGAGTCTTCAAGCTCCAAGAGAAATCCTGTGTGCATTTCAAAAAGTAATTACTTTCCAAGATCATCAGAATGCCATCAAACAGGAACTATGGATTGTGAGATTTTCGCTTATCGGGAAACAGGTGATGTCCTATGCACTGTATTCTCTAACACACATGCTGGAGGTGAGTTCAGTGCTGGCAAGAGGTACGATAGAAATTGGTCTAGCTAAAGCAGAGTTTGAACCGAAAAAATGCACATTACACGTTTATGAAACCACAGCAAAGGTGGAAATTCACGAACGCTTATTGAAACACCAGGGGATCAGGAGGTGACGGTTAATGTTCGTCCTAAGTTCTTTTGTCTCTGTGCAGAATCCCAGTTAGTTTAAATGAAGATGGCAGTCACATAGCGGAGAATGGCCAACTGTGCGTGGGATTTCCCAGTGGCTGCATGCAGTTTACAGGGGGAACTGATGAGGAAGAAGCGTTCAGAAAGACCAATCCCAATCTGGTGAAAGTTCTAATCGATAAGGTTGTCTTTGCAATAAAGATGAATGTGTTTCAGAGATAGTAGGAACTGCAGATGCTGGAGAATCTGAGATAACAAGGTGTAGAGCTGGATGAACACAGCAGGCCAAGCAGCATCAGAGGAGCAGGAAGGCTGACGTTTTGGGCCTAGACCCTTCTTCAGAAATGAAGAAGGGTCTAAGATGAATGTGTCTTTGCTTTCCACACAGGGCATTCATAATCCCTGTAGCAAAGTGTAGCAATTACTACGAGCTAGTGCGGCAAGAATTACATAAGACCATAAGATATAAGAGCAGAAATTAGGCCATTCGGCCCATTGAGTCTGTTCCGCCATTCAATCATGGCTGATAGGGCGAAGAATTTGTGAAGTGCATTACTTTTGTCATGCACAAAGTCAGAAGTCACATGACACCAGGTTATAGTCCAACAGGTTTATTTGAAATCACAAGCTTTCATAGCACTGTTCCTTTGTCGAAGCAGCAATGCCCCGAAAGCTTGTGATTTCAAATAAACCTGTTGGACTGCAACTTGGTGTCATGTGCCTTGTGACTTTGCACCCCCACCCCCCTTCCCCCATTTAGTCCAACACCGGCACCTCCACACCATGGTTGTCATGCACAAACAGTTCCTGTAGCAATTGCACAAATCAAAATTTTCATATGTTCTTGGCAGATGTACGTGCAGACATTTGGTACCAAAATGTTGTTTTTGTCCTTCAGAACCTGAACTTGTTTACAAGATGTATTGTCTTAACTGTCTTTGTAGGAGTTTTGAAACTGACTGCTTGTGACAGCTTTTTGTCGTGATGCTCCGCTGTACTTGGGGATTGGTTTAGCTCACTTGGCTGGATGGTTGGTTTGCAATGCAGTGTGATGCCAACAGCATGGGCTCAATTCCCATCGCTGGTTACCCTAAAGGCTCTCCTTCTCAACCTTTCCCTTTGCTTGAGGTTGGTGGCCCTCAGGCTAAATCGCCATCAGTCGTCTCTCCCTAATGAGAGAGCAGTCCTATGGTCTGGTAAGATTATGACGACACAACAACTTTACCAGCCTACCAGTGGAAAGACCAGAAGGCTGTTCCTTCAGAAGAATGCAGCACTGAAATGGAAGCTGGCATCTCAGAGTAGGTGAAACTATCTGCATCAGTGGGCATTGGTAAGCTGGCTGAGGTCTTACTCCATCACTTCCCTGAGATAGTAGAAACTGCTTTCGCAGTGGGGTTAAAATTGTTTCAGAGATAGTAGGAACTTAAAATTGTTTCAGAGATAGTAGGAGCTTAATTTCTGAAGAAGGGTTTAGGCCCGAAACGTCAGCTTTCCTGCTCCTCTGATGCTGCTTGGCCTGCTGTGTTCATCCAGCACTTCCCTGAGATCTGGCTGACAGAAGGAAGGAAATGTAGTTGGGGATGTCCTGTAGCCTTACCCATCTGCTTTACATAAACTTTCATTGGACCTTCTGCTGTTTGAGTTATTTGTTCAAACTGTCAAATTAAATGTCATAATGTTGAAAAAGAAAACAGTTTTATGCTCACAGTAATTTATATCAGGTCGAGCTTGTGTCTAGCTCGGAAAAAGATAATGAAGGAGTGGTAATGAAATGAAATCAAACATTTGTTGGAACAACATTGTGTTCCTCACTGAGAATATCTGGCAGTACATGATGCTTGGAAACAGGTCTCAATTATACAAGATATTGAAATCCTTCTGAGAATAGCATATACAATATTTAGCAAGTCAACTGTGAAGAAAGGGCAGTATGAAGAATTTACTAAATTCAGAATGTGATACGGAGGCATGTTGACCTCTGAATGAAGTGTACGCTGTCAGGACAACTTGCAGTGAATGCATTAATCTGAAACTACAATGTCGAGATTGAGTACTGCACAGGGCAAGCAAATAAGTGCAACGATGCAGTAAACAAATATTGCCTTAAAATGCTCACAAAGCACATTGCATTTGCAGCTCTGAAAGATGCTCTTGGTTAACTGGCATCACTGTGCAAATTCTTGCAGAGGAGCTGTTTGACAACAATTGGAGCTGTACGATTTACAAAAGGCCGGATCAATAAACTGAAGACTCAGTATCGAGGTGAACGTGCTTATTGGAGTGATGAAGGGAAGAAGGTTCTTGCTGTTCTCACCAGTGATGTGGACTGACTTGCAATCCTGTCATTTGTTCAGCTTCGATGGGATGACCTGGAAAGCTGATTTCCAACACAGGAGTTGTGAGAATGGCCTGTAATTGATCAGGCTGTCATCACCAAGGCAACTGATTGTGAATTTGGAAAAGACAGCGTGCTGTGACTGATATTGAAATATTTCACTCACCAAACTATGAAGAGTAAGTCTGACTGCGAAGTCATGTGACCAATACTCGGATTTAATACAAAACATCAAGACAGTCTCTATTTGGATATTCAGCGATTTAGCGGACTATGCCCTAAAAGGTGACCAGTTTCAAGTAAAATCCATCCTTCGGGATGTTGTGCAACATTTCAAGCATTAAGCGAACCACTCTCTGTGAAAAAAAGTTGCCCCCCAGGTCCCTTTTAAACCTTTTTCCTCTTACCTTAAAAATATACGCTCTAGTTTTGAACACCCCTATCTTAGGGAAAAGACCTTTGGCCAGAGGAAGTGGTAGATGCAGGTACAGTTACAAGATTTAAAAGGCATTTGGACAGATACATGAAAAAGAAAGGTTTCAAGGGATATGGACCAAACGCAGGCAAATGAGACAAGTTTAGTTTGGGAAGCTTGATCGGCATGGATGAGCTGAACTGAACAGTCTGTTTCCATGCTGCATAACTCTATAAGTGCTATCTGTAATGAATTTGATTAAATCCTAATCCAGGAAGAGATTAGAAATATATCTCTTGGACAACTCAATGCAAATTAAGTCATACATTTCATCTGAACAAAATATTAACCTGAATGTGACACACAATCACAGAGCAACAGATGAAGACAGGTGCAAAATGTTGCCAAGAAAGGAGTGAAGAAATTATTAGTGCCTTTGTTTTGGCATGTATTGTCCTTGGTGTACACCACCACTAAATAGGCCTCTAGACTTTAGAGCTGCATGAATCAGTTTGTTTCCTTTAGCAAGTAGAACACCTGTCATGTTGGAATGATATTGATGTGTACTTTTAGTAGTTAATGAACTGTGAAAAAAATTATTTGCAGCATCCACTCAGCGATGCTTTGATTTAAAAGCATTGCGCAGACTACTCAGAGGCACCACAAAGGTTACCGGGAACAATTGTACACATCCATCCATATTGACATTTCAATGTGCCCTATGGGGGTCGGTTTAGCTCAGTTGGCTGGATCGGTTGGTTTGTAAAGCATTGGGTTCAATCCCCACACTGGCTGAGGTTACCATGAAGAACCGTCCTTCTCAACCTCTCTGCACATTTGAAATGTGGTGGTCCTCAGGTTAAGCCACCACCTAATGAGAGAGCAGCCCCATGGTCTAGTAAGACTGCAGTGACTAGACTTGACATTCTGAAGTTGCTATGTGACTTTCTGTGTTAATCTACTGGTCAGCCACAAGCAGCTTCTGTCCTTTCTGCTCAAATATTCCAATATTTATAGTTGTGTGAAAATATACTTTATTCATAAATTATGTAGAAGTACATTATAAAACAAGTTGGACATGACAGAAACTACAATAAAAATATCCTATCCACTGCACTTTCAGCAGAGTATCTGATAGATGGTATGTACTGCTGCCAATGTGTGTTGGTGGTAGACAGAGTGAATGTGGAAGGTGGTGGATGAGATACCAGTCAAGGTCTTGGATGGCTTTGAGTGTTGTCCATCCTGACAAGTGGGAGTATTCAATTACACTCCTGACATGTGCCTTACAGATGGTGGGCAGGCTCTGGGGAGCCAGAAAGTGACTATGTTGGTAAGGCACGTTCTCCATTACAACGCTGCAGCAGAGTTCCCTGTTCCACCTTCATTCCCCAACTGCATATTTTGGAGCAGTATCAAGCGATCAGAGACAATATGGGATCAAGCAGATTTCTAGGCTTACACTTAGCGAAGACAATGCGAACAAAGCAGAAGGAAAAAACATGTCACCTCATGAAGTTTACCAACAACTTGCAATGAAACGGCAGCATGGTTAAAAGCTGGAAGATCATTTATATGAGTGTCATCAAACAGAATTTGACAACTACAATTAAGCATACTCATGGGGAATGGGCATTATGAAATCCTTCTGTTCACCCAATCAATATCTATTCGAAAATCACAGCAGGTCAAGCAGCAGCCATGGAGAGAGAACGAGCTAATGTTTCGAGCCTAGATGACCCTTCATCAGAGCTGTAATGATGAGTCACCTAGACTCGAAAGGTTAGCTTGCTATCTCTCCATGGATGTTGACTGACCCGCTGTGATCTCCAGCATTTTATGTTTGTGTTTACAGTACAGATTCCAAATCTGCAGTAATTTGCTCTCACAGTATCTACCCTGGCCACTTTGCGTTGGACGAAATAAAATTAGAGCAAAATCTCTTCCAGTGATGCAGAGGAGGAATAAAAATCTCTCTGTAGGAATCAGATAGCAACCCAATTTCTTCCAGCAGGTGGTGGCGGTCTTACAGTCATAGAATCATAGAGCTGTACAGCACAGAAACAGAACCTTTGGTCTTACTCGTCCATGCCAACCAGATAACATAAATTAATCTAATTCCATTTGCCATTGTTAGGCCCATATCCCTTTAAATCCTTCCTATTGATGTACACATCCAGATGCCTTTTAAATGTTGTAATCATACATACCTCCACCATTTCCTCTGGCAGCTCATTGCATACATACACCACCCTCTGTGTGAAAAAGTTACCCCTTAAGTCCTTTTAAATCTTTCCCCTCTCCCCTTAAACCTATGCTCTCTAGTTTTGGACTCCCCCAGCCTGGGGAAAAGACCTTGGTTATTCACCCTATCCATGCCCCTCATGATTATATAAACCTCCATAAGGTCACTCTTCAGCCTCTGACATTCCAGGGAAAATAGCCCCAGCTTATTCAACCTCTCCCTATAGCTCAAATGCTCATACAATAATTGGCTTGGCAAAACCTGATTTCCAACATGACGGCGATCACATCCTCAGGACAATGATGGGATTGTCACAACTGGTCTCAGTGCCTGCCTTAGAGTGGAAGTAAATCAGCCTGGACCCTGGCTTCCAATCCTTATGCAGTGGTTCATGCTAGAAATGCATGTGCAGGTAATGGTTACCTTTGTATTCACAGGCCAACAAAACATCAACACTTACCGTCAGGGCTCATGGGTATAAGAGATAGCTGGAGGACCGTCAATGGAAGTGTGCTCAGGTGAGGAACCGGTAGTTCCAGGGTCATGAGAAGGAAGAGGAGAGAAAAAGGAGAGGGAATGGACAACAAGTGGGTGGACAGAGAAGATGTAAAGGAAAAAGAAAGCAGATGGAGCTTTAGTGCCTGGTGCTGTGCAGCTGGTACATATCTAAAATACTGATGGGTGAGGAACTTGCGAGGTTTTATGGTCAGGGTACCACAGGCAGTGCAGGATTTTCTAGTTCACCCACACTCTGTGGACAACCCAAGGCCGAGGACTGACCATCTGACCCAGCTATGTGACAGACTGAGTCATTAATAACACACAACAAATCAATTTTGCAGACAATCGGAAAACAACATAGGAGCAGAGCAACTGAAACCCTCGGTAATCGTGCTGTCCCCTTTAAGAGTAAATCTTCCCAGAATTACCACCTGTTGTTCCCAGGACTTCAAGATTTCAGGAATAAACACTTCTGTTCCGTGTGTCTGGTCCAAATCATTACAGATCCAGATGATATAATTACTACTTCGGAAAAAGTGATTGGCTTTCCAAAGGGGCTGCAACAGGTTGGGTTTCTCTGTCTCTCACATTGCATTAAATAAATGAAGAGGTGCTTGAAATCACAACAGCAGAAACAACTCTTAAAAAGTGACAGCCTGAAAAGAAAATATCAGAATTTCAGCCATTCGATCAGAGCCGGGAAGCTGTCGCACTCCCTACTAAAGGGCAAACTGAAGGGCAGTGGCATGGGCTTTGCCTCCAACGGGGTATTTTACTCAATGTGGCAATACTTATATTGTCCCTTCTAACATAAGAAAACTGAAGTTGGGTATCATGGTATTGTAGGAATGAACGGAGGTTTGTTACACTGGATATTACATGCAGTCATTATATTGTTCAAAGGCACATCAGTGTCTGAACTAGTATTTGGCTACAGTGGAAGAGCATACATTCACCAGCATATCATGCTCCAATTGATCTGACTTAAGATGGAGCCTGAGATCATTATTTCCATAGAAGCCCTAAGGTGTGGAAGAAGGCCATTTGACCCATCAGGTCCAATCTTACCCTCTGAGAGCACCCCAACCAGACTCACCCCTCCTACCCTATCCCTGCATTTCCCATGGTTAACCCACTTAGCCTGCACATCCCTGTACACTATGGTCAATCCACCTAACCTGCACATCGTTGGACTGTGGGAGGAAACACACGCAGACACAGGGAGAATGTGCAACCTCCACACAGACAGTCACCCGAGGGTGGAATCGAACCTGGGTTCCTGGTGCTGTAAGGCAGCAGTGCTAACCACTGAACCACCGTGCCTTTATGTCCTCAGGTCACATACTATGGCACTGCGATACTATCATGACCATGTCTTTTAAAGGTATACTGATAAACTCTGACTCTTGAACGTATACTGACGGTGGGATAGAACACAACATGCAGTAAATAGAGAGGTTACCCTCTGTGCAGTTAGAGTGATTGCTGATGAGCTACAGTGTGGATGGCACAGATAGATAAACATAGCACACTGTGGCAGCAGATCTCCTGGCTGGAGTAGGTACAAGCAACAGCACATTATACAGGGAAGATTGAGAAAGGGGCGAATTAAACTCAAGTTTTTAGTCAAAGTAATGGGCCTGATTTTAACTGTGTGAATGAGTGAGTGTTGACTGAATTAAATCCGAGTCCCATGTAGTGGACAGTGGATTGATGGATTGATGGATGGTATGGTGGATTGATAGCTCTGCGGTTCGCATGCTTGATTCCCCAGGGAACCTCAGGGAGTGAGGCTAAAGTGAAGGAGGCTGTTTTCATGCTTTCCTTCAATGAA